CTATGCCACTACCACACTATTTTGATTCCTGTAACTTTGTAGTAAGTTAATGAAATGAGGCAGTGTGAGTGCTGCAGCTTTGTTCTTCTTGTAGCTATTATCATTTTAAAGGTTCCATTCAACTAGAAAACAGGAAGATTCCATAATGAAGCTTGGGTGAGAAAAAGGGAAGAGTTGAGTCTGACTGAAGTTTGAAACGTGGAGGGTAAGTGGCTAGCAAAGCCACTAACTAACTGGAAAACCATAAGGGTTAGAACACAGAGTGAGAAGACAGGCAGGGGCAGTGATACCTTGGTCATTCCTCCCACACATTTAACATGGGTACACTTTACCATATTTCATTGACTCAAAAATGCCACTGATGGGGCGCCTGGCTGGCTCAGTTGGTGGATCACGCGACTCTTGATCTCGGGGTTGTGAGTTTGAGCCCCACATTGGGTACGGAGCCTATTTTTAAAAATGCCATTGATTTTAAGACACCATTATTTTATGTCCCACTAAGAAAATATGCTATCAGTAATTATGACACGCTATTTACTGACCATGAGGCATAACCAATTTCAGAGATACAAAAAGGAGAGGGAAAAAAATACATTTTCGAATTAATTAAGTAAGATACATGCCAGGCATTGTGTCAAGCATCGTGGGAGGGGAGTGGGATACCACCAAGAAAACGGCTGTCTTCAAAAAGCTTCCAGTCTCACAGTGACACCTGCAGACATTTCTGCCACAAGACTGACTGGGAGGAGTACTACCACGCACGCACCAGAGCTGTTCTGAGATCAGCTGCTGCTTGTCAAGTATTTATAGGAGTTATTAATATAGACAGAATTGACAGTCACGTCTTTCTTGGGATTTCTAGTCCTCCCCCTCCTTTTCCCTGATGCCTGAAATTTCTAGGGACAAAGCCTTTCAAACCATTTTTGAATGAACGGAGACAATGAATTAAAACACCAAATGGTGAGTGTTGAACTAGCATGACTCCCGTGGAAGGCAATTTGGCACATCCAAATTACAAAGGCGTTTGCCCTTTGCCCTTGCGATACCACTCTAGGAATATGTCTTCCTGATATACTCACCTATGTGGAAAATGCCATGTATCCAAGGTATTCATTACAGCAGTGGTTGAAACAGCAAATAATTGGGAATAACCTAAAAGCCATGGATAGGGCACAGGTTACCTAGATTATGGAACATTCATACAGTGGATCCCAGATCAAGGAAATGCCTGATGTACGAACAGGGAAAACATCCCTGACGTGTATGTATGGTCAAATGAAAAAACGCTAAGTGCAGAACAATTGCGGTTGACTACCATTTGTATTATAAAGGGGGAATAAGAATACACATGTACAAACTTGTTGAAGAGACTCTAGGATACATGGGAAACTGACAACAGTGGTTATGGTTGGGGAGGGTTGGTGAATTTGGCAGATGGGGACAGAGAAGGGAGGAGGACTTTTTTACTTTATTTATTTATTTATTTATTTATTTATTTATTTATTTATTTTTTAACGTTTATTTATTTTTGAGACAGAGAGAGACAGAGCATGAATGCAGGAGGGTCAGAGAGAGAGAGAGGGAGACACAGAATCTGAAACAGGCTCCAGGCTCTGCACTGTCAGCACAGAGCCCGACGCGGGGCTCGAACTCAGATCATGACCTGGGCCGAAGTCGGACGCTTAACCGACTGAGCCACCCAGGCGCCCCACTTTCTGAACTGCATGTATGGGTTGTCCAAAATGTGAAATTAATTGAATTTTTTAAAACACCACATAGGAAGAGTTAACCCAGTAACTGATTCCCACCAAAGGGTGGGAATTCATTGATTCATCCATTCATTCACTCATTCCATAACCTATAGTAATCAAGAAATTTCTCTAGCATTAACCCTTAACATGTGCCAGGCATCACGCTACATGCCTTCACGTACTTTATTTCATTCAGTCCTCACCACTCCTATATGGTACAGGTGTCTAGCATTACGGAAGAGGAAGCTGAAGATGACAGAGGCTGTTCTTGCCTAAAGCCAACAGTGAGCATCCAGATCCCAGCATCCTGGGCCAGGCCCAGTTCTGGGCACAAGGGATGACAAGACAAAGGCACAACCCTGCCCTCTTGGACTTGATAGTCTAATGAGGGAGACAGGCATGTCAAATGGCAGATTCACAGGCAGGGCTTGAACAGGGGAGGGAGTGTTAGAGCACAGTGCCTAAGGATAAGGGGACAAAAGGAACAGAGAAGCTGGGGACAAGGAGAAAACCTCTCCCACAATGCCCTTTTGCCAAGGACAGGCCCTGTAAGCAGCGCTGGAACCCGGCGGCGCCCGAGTGAGAGGCCACCTCTGTAGCCTCAGAACCAACAATGAACAAAGGCTGCGGTGCTGTGTAAGAACAGAGGAGATCTGACAACGGCCCGGCTCGTTTGATCCGTGTAGACATCCCATCTAGACCTTGAAGCCTGAAGTGCTCTCCTTTAGCTGTCTACGCAGATCAAATAAGCTGGATGGCTGCCATATCTCAACTTCACTTTCTGCTAATCCATAGTCACAGCCAGCTAGCTCCACAGCAATCCGACCGAACCATCTGAGCAGAGGCAAAAATAATTCTCATGGGCAAAGACAGACAGCTCCAAGATGCGAACATTAACTCCTTGCTACCGCTTCAGGAGGGAGCGGCTTTTGAAGTTAGTTTTAGCAAGCTGGCAAGAAAGGAGCTTCTGCCCCTCTCCAAAGTGAAGGGGCAAAGCTGTTTTCTCTCCTTAGGGTTGAAAGTCCTTCCTGTTTCAGGGCTCACGTTTGCACACCCATAGGAGTTGACAATTAACAGCTATGGTCTGGATCTCAGAAAAGCAGCCCCACCTAAGAAACAGGGATCATCTCACCACACAAACACCTTTTTATTCACAGGATCATTAAAAGGACAACCGTACCCCCGCCCCCTCAGTCCTCAAGCTGTAGTGAGGAGCTCAGGAAATCCTTGCCACAGAGATGGTGGCAGGGCTAGGCATCTAACAACAAACCCACAAGCTGAGTAGCATCGTTACAAAAGATTAAAAAATCTACATGAGTTCTAACATCTTCGTTCCTAGCTGTGGTTTCCATGGAAATAGACATCTGCTCTAGGGAGAAAGCAAAGGTGGGGGGAAGCAGTATAAGTGCTTTAAAATAATCTGTGTTTTGAAAGATTTTTTTTTCCTGTCACAACATTAATAGTCAGAAGCGTAAGATTTTTGCATGGCAGTTTCTTATATTAAAAGAAAAAATGCATCAAATGGGTGGGACCTTCCTCTGCAAACCTCCAGTTCAAGTACAAAGACATGAAAGGCTGGTTCCGGGGGATAATAGACCTCTTGGCCTTGGGTTCTGTGCTTATTTGTGTTGCCTGCCAATCTGTCACTTTTCAGTGAGGTCTTATCCCCACCCCTCTCCAGCCTTTCTAATGATTTTTGAGATTTCACTCAGAAAACTGACAGATGGAAACACCTGGCTGTTTTGTGGCTAAGTTTGGTCTGAGAGGGAGAAGCCTTTCAGGGCTTAGAATCTGAATTATTCCTGTTCCTGCTCACATGCTAAGGGAAAACCACTTAGATTGGGGGCGGGGGAGAGGCTGACCCCACACAAGGGCGATTGTTGGAGAAAATGCCACAACAAGCATATTTCAGCCAACAGCCAATTGCTAATTGTTTGCTTTGTGTGGGGTGTCTGCTGCCTGTATGATCTAGTTTTCCTTGTCTCAGGCACCTATTGTATTTATCTCTAGTACATCCCTAGAGACTAGCTGGACATGGAGAGTCTTTCAAAATTAGGGCTGTTGTTTCAGCAGTTAGTCATTTTCGTTTCTTGGTATGGGAAAACTGAACCCGTGGATTCATGAAATGAAGGTGTCCTTCTGCCCAATGAGGATCGCAAAGCAGACACGTTGGTGTTATGGCCACCACCCGAATCCCAAAGACACAGCCTTGGTCTGGGGAATGGGAGGAGGGATCTGGAAACCATGTTCATTTTATTTTCCTTCTGGCCTTTTTGTGGGAGGAGGGAGGCCAGTCATTCTAAGATAGCTCCGGTCAATTTCCTTTGTAGCTCTGCTGTACTTCTCATCTAACCAGGCCAGGAGGAACCGTGACCTTGTGGCTCCCCCTTTTGTTTTGATTCTTTAAAAGGGCCCAGCACTGCACTGGGGAGCACGTGCTCCAAGAACAAAAGCAACACTTAACTGCAGTCTGTGTAGTCTAGAACTGCTTTTGCTCTTCCTTCCCTATCATCAGGCAAAAGGCTAGGCTGAACAGATGGAGTCTGCATTTAAGCAAAGGAGATCAAATTCCAGAGCCTCACGCCTTCCCCCCCACTGTTCTCTGGTCACCAGCTCCAGGACCCGAGCATGGTAGGGAGAAGGCACACAGTGAGGAAGGGCCACGCCCAGGACCTGTTAACTGAGTGGGTAAGGGATTATGATGATGTCACAATGCAGGTTACATGCGGGTTTCGAGGTAGGGCGCTGGGTTGCAGAGGGCCTTATAAGGGCAGAGAGTGGCATTGTCCTCTAACAAGGGCTTGGGCGTCTTAGGTGGCAGCAGGGGGTGTAGCACCGGAGAAGCCCATCTCTGTCCGAGCGTTGCCCTTGGGGCGATGCGGGGCACGTGGCTCAACAGAGGCGGAGTCCAGTCGGCCACCCTCTGAGAGGTACAGAGGGACCCCGCCCCGCCCGACCCCGCCCTTTTCCTAGAGATTGGAGGGCTGGTTCAGACCCAGGCTAGGGGCCATCGTATAACCCTCTTCCAAGGCCAGACAACCGCCCCGTCCCCCTGCACACACCCGGGAGACCCCCAAACGCGGCCAACCCTTCGCATTGTCCGCCTACCCGGCCAGCCTGAACTACACTTCCCGAGGTGCTTGGGGGTCCCGAGGGGCGGGGCCACTGGGTTGGGGGGAGGGGTCGGCACGTGCCGCGGCTCTCAGCCAATAGGAAGCCCGGTCGGGAGGTCACGTGCCGCTGTTTGGCGCTTTTGTGCGCGCCCGGGTCTGTTGGTGCTCAGAGTGTGGCCAGGCGGCTCGGACCGAGCAGGTGGGTGCGGGGCTCTTGGAGGAGGCGGCGGGAGGCTAGGGGCCAGCGAGAGGGACGCGGCCGGCGGGAGGGGCCGGGCCATGGCAGCGGCCCCCTGCTGGAGGGCGGCGGGCGTGGCCGCGGGCCCCAAGAGGGGCTTGCGGGCGGGGGTCTCTCCGCTTTGTGTGTGGCTCGGGCGGAGTCTCGGCTTTGTCCCCGCTCCCTGGGGGCGCGGCTATCGTGGGGAGGGGGCGCGGCCAGCTGGGCAAGTCTTTGGTGTTAGCCCGGGGTGCAGTCGTGGAGACAATAGGGGGCGTGGGCCTTCGTTTGCCTCCTTCCTTCCCTGTGCAGTCGCGGCCCCACTGGGGTCCCCATTGTTTGAAGGGGCGGGGCGGCTCTAGGGAGCAGCGGTTTTAGGGCCAGACTGCCGGCGACTAGGGCCTCGCCCAGTGACTAGGGCCGAGCCGGAGAGGCTGACACCCCACGAGAGCAATCCTGTTCTCGCGGCGAGGGGCACAGACAACTAGGCTGGAGGCAGGTTGGGAGGGAGTGAAGGGAGGAGGTGGCGGGCCGATGGCGGGGCTATCCCACGGCCAGTTCCCCGGGCCTGCCCCACCCGCCGAGCTGCTGCAGGGGTGGGGGGTGGCCTCGAGATGTTTTTGGCGGGAGTTGGGGGGGGGGGGGTTCGTCAGCGCGGGGCTAGCCCGGGAAGGGCGGAGTTACCCAGATAGGACCGTTAGCCCCGCCCATCCCTCCCCTTCCCACGCGCGCGGGCTCCGGGGTGTTGTGAGTTCGGGGAGATTCGAAAAGGCGCGGGGAGGAAGGGGGCGGGGCCAGGGGCCGGAGCGCAGGGCGTGCTCTGATTGGCCGGGGGCGGCCACCCGCTTTTCCTCGCTTTGACCGGGGCCACGCCCATCCTGGGTCCGGTGCTGCGTCTCATGCTCTGCCGGAGTTAGACCGTTTCGTTGCCTCGGATTTTAATTTCCAGCTGTTGGAATCTGTAATCTTATGTCTTCTTACCAGGCTGGGGTCTACAAGGATAATGACCTTAAAAAAATCGGGGGGGGGGATGTAGAATTTTTCATGATATAAGGCAGCAAATACTACAACCTAAAGCCTAGAGGTTCATAAAACTGATTAATTTTGCCCGCTGTTGGATAAGGAGCTTAGGCCCCAAGAACAATAGGAGTTCAACATTATTGGTTAATAGTAGCTTGGGCGTTTTGTTTTCCACCATGGCAGACACAGACAAAGCAGGGGTGGGTATTTCATTTGCACAATGAGTTGTAGGCAGTATTAAGATGGCTCCGGTCTCACTGTTGAGTTGAATCTGGAATATCTTCTCGCTGATTGCGGGGGGGCGTGGGGGGGGTATTTTAGAGTTTATAGGAGAAAAATATATATTGTGACTTAACCTTGTCTAAATTTAAAATCGCGGAGATGTTTTTTGAACAGGCAAGCTCAGTTGACTTGATTTTCTGAAACCAATGTTCTATTTAGTTCACATTTACCAATGTTTCAGTATTTTCTAGATTTTTATGATTTTCTAGTTAATGATGTCTTATTTAATTCCACAGTAGTGATTTTCCTGACACTGATTTATGTGGATGTTATTTGAGGTCCCTTTGGATCAATGACCTAGAAATGCAAAGAAATTGATTGCATGCTTTTAAAAATCGTTTTCAGGGTTTTCCTTGCCAGTGGATTGTGTAGAATACACTGCCAGTCTCTTGTCTTCTGTTCACCATGGCTTCTTCTGGTAGGTAATCTATTTGGAAAAGCTGAATACTGATGGGTTTAGGGTTTTATAATAGGAGATGGATTCAGGCCTCAAGCCATTAATTTGGCAGTTGTGTTTTGGTCTTATAAATAAAAACCCATTTTATAAATCGGAGAATAAAGAAGAAAAAATATCACTTGAATATACTGAGAGCTTGTAATTGTTTCACCATTTGATGATTTGGCTTGGTCTAGAGCAAAATTGTGGAGTTTTGCACAAGTCTTTCTTTTATTTATGAAAGTGATTGTCAAGCTCTGATATCTCAGAATGGTATTTATTAATCCAAAAATACTGCGCTTTGGTTTTCTGAGAGGTGGTATTTACGTAATTTCTTGCCTGCAAACGGAAGCTTCATCAGCCCTAAATCTTTTCATTAAATTGATTTAGTTTTTAGAAAATTACAGGATAGTTTATTAGCATAGGAAAACCCCATGTTTCTGAATACGTTATAAATATGATCAAATCCAGATATCCAGGTGAAAGAACTGGAGAAGCGTGCCTCAGGCCAGGCTTTTGAGCTGATTCTCAGCCCTCGATCAAAAGAATCCGTCCCAGAGTTCCCCCTTTCCCCTCCAAAGAAGAAGGATCTTTCCCTGGAGGAAATTCAGAAGAAATTAGAAGCGGCAGAAGAAAGACGCAAGGTAAACATCACAATTCACAGAGAACAGGGTATTTATTTATGTAATGTGGCAAATCAGTTTTATTTCCATAACAGGAGAAAAACAGTTGTAGCTAGATGTGATTATTACACATCTGTGTAATTACACACTGTGTAAATTACATATGCCAGGAAGAAGAAAAGGCCAGGCATCACTTACTGAACTCCTATTATGTACCAAGTCCTTCACTTCTATTTTTCTTTAATACAATGACCCTAAAGGGTAGATGTCTGAGATACTGAAAGGAGAAAATGGTCTTGAGAATGTTGTCATCTTCCCATGTCCTGTAGCTAGTGAGTATCGTAGCCAGAATTCAAGCCTGTTTGTCTGAAACCAAAGTTCCTGCCTCTCTCATGCTTTCTCTTTGAAAAATAGATTTGTTGGTGCATGATTTCTTTTTCTTTCCCTTTTTTGGGGGAGGAATTAGTTCGGTGTGGTTTGTGTGTGTTGTGTCTGTGGGTTTTTTTGTTTTGTTTTGCTTTTTGAGAGCTGTACAATAAAAACATTTTAGATTGCTGGTAATGTGATTGTGTTGCTCCACTGGCATGATGATATTAGGGCAGTTTTTCTCTTACCTAAGCAATTCTGTAAAGGATCCATTTTCAAAAACAAATCCGAAGAATCAACAAGTATGGAAATGCTTGTTATAGAAAAATTGAGAATCACAAAAGTTTATGCATAGAAAATTAAAAATATTCATTATCCTACTTCCCAGAAATAACCATTGTTAACGTTTTGGTGCATTTCCTTCCATCCAATATTATTCTTTTCATGAAGAACTTTATATAGAAATTCCCATTTCATTCCCTTCCAACAACCCTGATTGAGGTGAGTGGGTTTAATTTTAAAATTAGGGAGGGGCGCCTGGCTGGCTCAGTCAGTACGGCATGTGGCTCTTGATCTTGGGGTGGTGAGTTCAAGCCCCGTGTTGGGTGTAGAGTTTATTTAATGAAAAAAAAATTTTTTTTAATAAAATTAGGGAAAGTAGGCACAAGAAGGTGAAGCGGTAACCTGCCCCTGACCAACACAGTTAATGCAATTTGAAGTCTAACACATCTAACCACATACACACATACACAGGCCCCTGTTTAAGCTGCTGTAACATGCACCATGGACATTTCAGTGCTACATGTCATGTATATGTGCACTGACCCACGGTCAACCCTGCGCGTGATTCATTTCTCCAGGAAGAGTGGCAGTGTGTGCAAGGCTGGGTCCTCTCTACCTGTTTCTCTGTGCAGATAGAGTTCCTATGGAGGTTCATGGAGTTTTTGAGTTTGTGGAGGAGATGCGGCCAGTAGCTGGACAAAAAAAATTAAGGAGTCGTCACCCAGCCCTGTCGTCACCAGCCCGTGCTTTTATGCAGTAACTGCCTAAATGTAGTGACACTTCCCCTGACTGGGGTTTCGCAGAAGAGAACCAGTGGCAGGTGCTCTTCGGTTTTTGTGCAAGTCAGTGATACTTCCAAGCACATCAGAATCTATTTGGTAACAAGCCATCCCGAGTCTGTTGAAGGAGGCACACTGTGGTAACAGAGCTCCAGTGGTCTGGAAGTGAATGCAGCTTCTAAAGAGAAGGGCTGATAAGTTTTTCCTCGAAACAGAACTCTCTCTAGTAATCTGGGGTCTTAGTCTTTTTTTTTAAATTTTTTTTTTCAACATTTATTTATTTTTGGGACAGAGAGAGACACAGCATGAACGGGGGAGGGGCAGAGAGAGAGGGAGACACAGAATCGGAAACAGGCTCCAGGCTCTGAGCCATCAGCCCAGAGCCCGACGCGGGGCACGAACCCACGGACCGCGAGATCGTGACCTGGCTGAAGTCGGACGCCCAACCGACTGCGCCACCCAGGCGCCCCTGGGGTCTTAGTCTTAAATTCCCTATCATTCATAGATTTTTCTTTTTATCGATATGGTTGCATTTTTTCATAATAAGCTAATTTTCTTTGGGTGGACTTTCAAGTTCAAGAGCCAGATTCTTTACAGTACAGCTCCTTTGTCGCGTGCACCTCACTCAAGTCCTCTTGCTACCATTAAGCAGTAAATCTTACAGGGATTCCCTTAAAGAACAGTAGTGCAAGACTCTGAACCAACCTGGGCAGTTTTCCAAAGTAAATACGAATACCCGAAAAACAGTATGGTTTTCACCGTATTTTGAGACGGATAATTCAGGCCCTTGACTTAGGTGTTGTTTAAGGAGATTTCATTTTCTGTCTCTCTTCAGTCCTCCCGATTAATCGTTTCTTTTGTCATCGTACCTAATGCTAAATAAACGTCCGAGAGTCTAGCCTCTTACACATTTTTCAGTCCCACGAAGCCGAGGTCTTGAAGCAGCTTGCTGAGAAGCGGGAGCATGAGAAAGAAGTGCTTCAGAAAGCGATCGAGGAGAACAACAACTTCAGTAAAATGGCGGAAGAAAAGCTGACCCACAAAATGGAAGCCAACAAAGAGAACCGAGAGGCACAGATGGCTGCCAAACTGGAGCGCTTGCGGGAGAAGGTTGGTGTCCCAGCCTGGCTTGGAGAGGGTCAAGAGCTTGAAGTCTGCCCCAATGAGGTGGCCTGAACTAATGGCCTTGATCTAGGTGGTTGGTGTCTTCGTCACCAGTTTCAGGCCCTGACACATTAAATGACAGGTATCTTATTTTAGAATAAGGTGGAGCAGGGCTCCTGGCTGGCTCAGTCAGTGGAGCGTGCGATTTTTCTTGCTCTCGGGGTCGGGGTTCAGGCTCCACGTTGAATGGAGAGATGACTTAAAATCTAAAATCTTTAAAAAATATATTAAAATGAAATAAGACAGACTATGCAGTAATTTCCAGAGTAGTTGTACATTCTGTGGAAGAGTCGTAGGAGGCTCAGTCAGTAGGTTCCCCGAGTGACCCAAGGAAGCTGGAAGATCATGTTTAGAATTCTAAGTATGCGATGTGATTCCCACTGATATATAATACACGCCCTGATGCTGCCATTGGGACTGTTGGGGTGAGCGCCTTGGCAGGCTTTCGAATTAGACTGATGACGAATGCCGTTTCTTCACAGGACAAGCACATTGAAGAAGTACGGAAGAACAAAGAGTCCAAAGACCCTGCTGATGAAACTGAAGCCGACTAATTTGTTCTGAGAACTGACTTGCTCCCCTTCCCCTTCCCAAACATCCAAAGACTGTACTGGCCAGTGTCATTTTATTTTTGCCCTCCTGACAAATATTCTAGAAGCTGATGTAGGACTGTATAGGTAGACCCAGACTGTATGATGTTGTTTTAGGGGCTAAAGGGGAGAAACTGAAAGTGTTTTACTCTTTTTCTAAAGTGTTGAAGTCTTTCTAATGTAGCCATTTTTCTTGTTGCATCTTTTCTACTTCAGCACACCTGGTGTGCTGGGTTAATGGCTAGTACTGTATTGGCTCTGTGAAAACCTGTTTGTGAAAAGAGTATGTAGTGGCTTCCTTCAAACTGTTAGATGCTGAATATCTGTTCACTTTTAAATCCCAATTCTGTCCCGATCTTACCAGATGCTACTGTACTTGAATGGTTAATAAAACTGCACAGTGCTGTTGGTGGCAGTGACTTCTTTCTCTACAGGTAATAAACTGTGACGTGTTAGAGGCCCTCCTGGTTGCTGTTTGTTCCAGACGGGGCCTCTGGCCTCCAGAAACACCCCGTGCACACATCACCGAAAGTTCTCTGCCCCAGAGTGGTCCTGCTTTGTCTTCTTCCACAATCCTCACTGTGTTTTGATGCCCCGCCCAGATCAGCTGTCCCGATGGTCTTTCAGATGTTTATTCACAAACAAGCTTATTTTTGTTCCCATGTCCCGGTTAAAAAGGCAGATTAAGGCATGGGCTTCGTGGGCTTTCTAGAGAAGGCTTCAGAGGAAATCTGGAGATCCTAGTTAGAGGTATTTGACAGTGTATTTGCTTTATGTTACCAGTGGGGTGGGGATGTGCCCTCCAGTGCTTTACTGCCGAAGAAGCCATGACTCCAAAGTGGGAATATTCGTCTAATCCTCTGCGCCCATGTAGCAACCTTCTGGGAAGAGGTTAAAGGGAGCCTTATTTTCTAGAGTAGCGTCTGATCTGAGTGGTTAAGGTTCGCAATCTACTTCATCTTGTATCCAGAGGTGATGATATTCACCATTGTCAGAGCTTTGCTTCTCAACTCAGGGAAAGCCTTTGGCAGCTTTCCTTGGTGCTATTTGGGAAATGGCCTTAATTGCCTAGGATTATTTGCTTCGACATCTGTATAAAAGCCCTTGGAAGCCACGCATCTGTAGTGAGAGGTGAGACAGTGCCGGTGGCCAGACTGCAGGAGGGTCTGCTGGTTGCCTTGCACGTGCTTCCTCGGCTCTGGCTTTATCAACCGGAGGCCAGTGAGTGAGCCAAGTTTATACTCAAATTGGGAAGGATTATGAGCGTTTGTGATGCCTTGAATTGGCCTCCAGATTTACTTAGACCAAGATGATCAGTTGTAGTTCTGGGGGAAAAAGCTGAATTTAAAGGGCTATGGCCACGTGGGGCAACACAGGAACAAGATCAAGTGGAGTTTAGTAGAACGATAGTTCAGACGATAGGACAAAGTGAGGCTTGTGCAGGGACTCAGCGTTTTTCATCCTCAGCCTCTGGCACGGAGCAGTTAGAGGTTGGCACGGGTGACCTGGTCCCTGGAGGGATCTTTTAGATGCCGGTTTTGCGTAACTGGGACATAAAGACCGTGTGAAGATAGAAATTTGTGTTGACACTCGGCATCCTACAGATGGCAGTGAACTTCGTGTTCGTATAAGACCGGTAGAGAAGGGAGCAGAGTTTAGGAAATAGCCTGAAAAGAGTCCAGATGGGCTGAGGGAGGATACCCCACCCAGTTAGTTCCCACCAACCCCGTGGTGGCTCTGACTTAATACCACAGTGGTCCTGAGTTCCCACCTCGTGACAGTGATGCGTCACAAGGAACTGAAGGCCTGATGCTTCTTACCGTGACCTCAAAAAATCCCGGCTTTCTGGTTCACCTCTGACCTTCGGAGAGGCACTTAGCCCTGGGCCTCAGTTTTCTCCTAAAATAAATATAAAATAAAAATAAATTTAAAAAATAAAAATCAAATTAAAATGAGAAGCCTGAGCTAGGCTAGTGAAATCTCTTTTCATTCAAATTCTAGGCCTACAACTTGGAGGGAAGGAGCAGTGGGTGCCTGTGAGTGGGGAGTGCCTGAGCACTTCCCCAGCCTGGGCGTCCTCTGTCCTGTCTTCCAGTGCCCATCCCCCAGTGGGGCCGCCTCCCCTGACAGCACTCCAGGCCAGGCGGTGTGACCTCAGCCTGGGGGCTGTCATCAAGGAGCACACTCCATTCCTTTTAGCTTGAGTGGAAACTGAAGCTTGTCTCTTCCTCCTGGGACCTTTGTGCTTAGACATGGGATGGGCAGGCCTTGGTGGAAAAGAGATATTTGAGGGGCGCCTGGGTGGCTCAGTCGGTTAAGCATCTGACCTCGGCTCAGGTCGTGATCTCGCCGTTTGTGAGTTTAAGCCCCGCGTCCGGCTCTGTGCTGACAGCTCAGGGCCTGGAACCTGCTTTGGATTCTGTGTCTCCCTCTCTCTCTCTGCCCCTCCCTTGCTCACTCTCTGTCTCTGTCTCTTGATAATAAATAAATGTTAAAGGAAAAAAAAAAATGGAGCTTTCCCCAGGGGTGCCTGCGTGGCTCTGTTGGTTAAGCAGCCGACTTTGGTTCAGGTCATGATCTCCTGGTTCATGAATTAAAGCCCTGTATCAGGCTGTGTGCTGACAGTGCAGAGCCTGCCTGCTTCAGATCCTCTGCCCCTTTGTCTCTGCACCTCCCCCACGTGCTCCTGCTCTCGTGCTCTCTCTTTCTCTTTCAAAATAAACTTGAAAGAAAGAAAGAAAGAAAAGAAAGAAGGAAGGAAAAGAAAGAGAAGGAAAGAGAGAGAAAGAGAAAGAAAGAAAAAGAAAGAAAGAAAGAAAGAAAGAAAGAAAGAAAGAAAGAAAGAAAGAAAGAAGAAAGAAAGAGAAAAAGAAAAAGAAGGAGCTTTCCCTTTGGGCAGAATGTTGGATTAGGTGCCCAGGAAGTTCGAACCATGTTTTGACCACTGAGGTTTCTCCCCACTGAGCTGAAGTTCAAGGCCCCAGAAACACTGCTGACACTTCAGTCCCTTGCCATTTGCCTCCTGCCTCTTGGGCCAGGTCATTCAGAAGGTCCAAAGGGCCCTGTGGCTGAGACCTCTGCCCGCCGAAGCTGGTATTCTGCACTGAAGGGGCATGGGGAAGATTTTCTGCCTTGGTTTATACATGCCCCCAGAGTTTTAAAGCTTAGTTAAGGGTTTGAGGAGCTTAAAATGCAGCAGCCTCAGTGGAGGGGGCTCTCGCCCATAGCTGAAAGGCCCAGTCTTCTCCCGGTATGGTCAAGAACGGTACCTTCCCTGTCCTTGGGCACCAGATCCTACTGTGAAGTGGACAGAGAGGGTAAGAAACAGAGGCAGAATAGCCAGATGCCCATGGCCACCACCTCAGCAGAATGGCGGTTACCAGGGGACTGAGCCTCTGTACGTACAGGAGGCCTCCCACTGCCCTTGCTGGCAGGAAGCCCAACATCACTGGGGGGGGGGGGGGAAGTCCCTGCCACACCTAGGCCCCCCTCTTGTGTGCAGCAGCTTATTATTTGCCTGATCTCAATGAGTCCCCAGAACAACCCTATGACATTATCTTACCCACTTTACAGGCAAGAAATGAGGCAACTGAGACTCAGATCAGGTGATTTGCCAAAGTGACATACCTAAGGGTGTGGGGTCAGGAATCAAACCCTAACTTTTAACCCCCAGCTCTACTGCAGCACCTTACATATCACAAATGAATTATTAGGCAATTATTTGTTTCGAGTATGTCTCCCCAGCTAGAATGAAGGGTCGCAGAGAGCAGGAACTGTGCCTGTCACATTCACCGCTGGATCTCTGGCTCTGAGACTGGCATACAGTAGGAGGTTAATAAATCTGTGCTGAATTAAATCATGATGAGTGGACCAGTGACTCTTATGGTCCACCTCGGGGCACTTGCTTTGTCCTCTTCTTGTGTGGACCCCATGGGAAGTCATTCCGATTTTCTAGAAGCACAAGATGGCTCTGCCCTGGTTTGCAGATCGGCCTCGGAGGTGCCCTACACTTAATGGCATCCTTTCAGATCCAAAGGCACAAACCCGTGGCCTGCAGTCAGAATCATCGGTCTGCAGGCAGGATGTGTTCAGCATGTGCTGCTTAAATGTTTGAATGAGTTGACAATTAATTCCACTAGAAAATTTGATTTCAGGCTTATCTTGAAAAACCTGGAAGATCTGGCAACCCTGGGCTCACAGTCCCGCCCAGACACAGTCGGCAGGCTCTGGGCAGCTGCTGCCACCTTGAGGTGGGATGTGCGCACTACAGCAATCGGTCCTCTGGCCCGCCCACTTCTGTCCTTGACCGGACCCAGGGCCGGGCTGTATGTAGGCCTGCCTTTGCTGTCCCTGACACAGATGACAGCAACACCATCAGTCAGTCAAACTTTTTTTTTGTAGGTCAAAGGTCCAATTGGTACAAAAGGAAATACAATAAAAAGCGACTCCCCTCCCTCTGATGTCCCCTAGCTCTGTCCCCTGAGGCCACAGGTCCCTAACTGTCCCACAGACATGCTGCACTTCCCTTAGCACAGTCTCCAAATGCTTGCTGGCACCTCTGAGGGGCCAGACACCAGCTGGGCAGCAGAGTCACATGACAAATTTTCAAAATAGACTCTGGGACCCTCATCAGACCTTTGGAGGTAGAATTTCTAAAATCGGAGTCTAGGTGTCTAGATTTTTTTTTTTTAATTTTTTTTTTTTTAATGTTTATTTTTGAGAGACAGAGAGACAGAGCATGAGCTGGGGAGGGCAGAGAGAGAGGGAGACACAGAATCCGGAGCAGGCTCCAGGCTCGGAGCTGTCAACCCAGAGCCCGACGCGGGGCTCGAACTCACGAACCGTGAGATCATGACCTGAACCAAAGTCGGATGCTTAACCGACTGAGCCATCCGGACGCCCCTAGATTTTTTTTTTTTTTTTTTTTTAGAACCCACAATGTTTTCTGTTCCTCAGCAAGACAGAGACCACCGTACTCAAGGTGTACCGTCCCTAAAACAGTTTCCACTCTTCATTCCCCCAAAGTCTGGCAGAGATGGGCCCAGAGCTACAGCCATCGAGGCCACTGCTCAGTTGTGCAGACTGTACCCTGCCTGGGGGCACTCAGCCAGGGCCTGAAATCTGGCCAGACCCTCACACCAGGCCACGTTACACCACCGCCCTCCCAGCCCACAGAGGAGCGGCACCTCTTCTGAATTTACCTTGTCAACCATTCAATGCAAATCCAGGGAGACGTGCGCTATGCAGATGGGGGCTCCTCAGTGCAGCTGTAGGCCCAGGACGACTTCCTGTAAGAGGTGAGGCTTGGGCCACGTTTGGTCTAGGGGTTAAAAGGAAAGAAGGCACTCTTCTGCTCTGTACTTCCCTCACCCCGTTCCCCACCCCAACCCACAGCTGCCTGCGTGTATTAGGGGTCACTGATAGGGAGATCTTAATAACAGTGTACAACGAGAAGGCCCTGGGAGACCGACTAAGGTATGAGGGCTCCAGCCATAAGTCAGACCAGCATGCTTGGCCTAAGGCTGCTTGGGGTTAGGTGGCTTGGTTTCCAGAAGTGCTTGCTTGAGGAAGCAGGGATGTGGGAGGCTTGTTCCTTCCGGCCACAGTCCACCCTTCTCTACGGCCTCAATCAGCGCTATCAAAGAGTGGCCCTCGGACCACTGCCAGGCTACTGGGCCGCAATGAGATAATACAGACATTGAAAGTAAGCATTTCGGAACTTTTATGACAATTTTACAACGTCAGTCGAAGACTATTGAAGCTGAGGCTGGTATTTTGCATCTTTTTTTACTGTATCTAAAAAAATTGTAAAATCCACATAACATAAAATGTGCCATTGTTACCATTTTTAAGTGTACAATTCAGGGGCATTAACACATTCACAATGTTATGTAACCATTGCCACTGTCTAGTATATTTCTTTACTTTTACAAAAGTGTGAGCTTTCTGCAGATAATTTTTTTTTTTCTTTTTTAATTTCGTTTGAGAAACACTGACCTGTGGGTTTCCCAAAGCCTTGAAGGTTTGGGCACCTGATTGCACAAGTTGATACAATGTTTGGCTTCATTTTCCCAACCTTCCCCCCCCCCCCCCCCCCGGAAGTGGCGGGGGCTGAGGTCCAGGCTCCCTGGACAAGGGGAGTGGAGCCATGGGCACCACCCTGGAAGGGAGGAGAAAGAAGCTTCCGTGCTGCCTGGGGCTGGGGCAGGACCTGGGCTGTCCCCGGGACAGGGCAGCTTCCGAGCGCCTGTGGCAGGAAAGGCGGATGAGAGGCTGCAAGGCTTTCTGGGAAGGCAGGATTTCCTCCTGACTCAGCTGGGGGAGGTGCATTTGCTGAGAATCCCGACAAAGTCAGCTACAGCTGGAAAAGCCCTCCGCGACCTCTGTGTCTGCCCTTCTTGTTCGGAGAAAGAGCGTGAGGCCAGAAAGAAAAGACTTGCCCCAGGTGACGATCAGTCAGCGGTGGTCCCAAATGCAAACCTTTCCATTCCCAGGTAGAAGCAGGGCAGGGGTTCCCGGAGTCACACGGAATGGGGTTGAAGTTCCAGCTCTATCGGCTCCCCAGGGACTTTGGGCATCACTCATCAGTGAAATAGGGATAATCCGTCACAGGCTGGATGAGTGTTGAGCCTGGGGACAAGTTTAACGAAGCACAGAGCCTGGTGCTTGGGTGATGAGCTGTCTCAGTCCCCTGCCTCTCCCTGTCCCTCCAAGCCCGCTCTGCAAACTGTAGGGCCTTCTCTGTCTTCCATGTCCCCTCACTGCAGCTGGGCGGACAGAGGAAGGCAGACCCTCTCCAGACTGCGAACAGGGAGCTCCTAATCTACTGCAACTGGCCTTCTCTGAGTTCTTGACTCTTCTGCCAACTCTTTGGACATCTTGGAGAAATGTTTGTCCTTTCTGGAACTCAGAACCTTTGTAAAATGAGGGAGTTGAACCAGAAGAACTCAAAAGCCCATTTTGGGGAGAGAGTACTAAAGTTTGGGATGCTTTACATCTCTGTGTCTTTTCAGGTACAAACTCCCAGCACGTTAGACCTTGTCAGACTGGGCTGCCACGGGGTTACCAGCCACCTGCTTTTTTTTTTTTTTTCTTAAAGTTTATTTTTTTTATTATTTAAAAAAAAAATTAATGTTTATTTTTGAGAGAGAGACAGACTGCGAGAGGGAGACACAGACTCCAAAGCAGCTCCAGGCTCTGAGCTGTCAGCACAGATCCCAACGCTGGGCTCAAACTCACAAACCACGAGATCATGACCTGAGCTGAAGTTGGATGCTCAACCAACTGAGCCACCCAGGCGCCCTGCTTAAAGTTTATTTTTATTTATTTTGAGAGAGAGAGAGAGAGAGAGAGCAAGCAGAGGAGGGGAAGAGAGGGAGACAGAATCCCAAGCAGGCTCCATGCTATCAGCACAGAGCCCGATGCAGGTCTCGAACCCATAAACCATGAGATCATGGCCTGAGCCAAGATCGAGTCAGATGCTCAACTGACTGAGCCACCCAGGCGCCCTGCTAGCTACCTGCTTTTGTGTTACCTCTCTGTCACTCCTTCCTGTCTCTCTTTTCTTTCTCTTTTCTGGTGAAGGTTTCCTGAGCACTTAACCATTTTCTGCGCACCGTAGCTTTTAGGCATTTCACATGTTTCATCTTACCGAATCTTTAAAGCGTCCTTGTGAAGTAAATGCTATTCTTATCCTATTTTCCAGACAAGAAACTGAGGTTCAGAAAACTTTCGTCACAGGAGTGCTTGGGTGGCTCAGTTGGTTGGGTGTCCAACCTCAGCTCAGGTCATTATCGGACGGTTCATGGGTTCAGGCCCCGCATCAGGCTCTGTGCTGACAGCTAGGAGCCTGGAGCCTGCTTCAGATTCTGTGTCTCCTTTTTCCTCTTTCAAAAGTAAATAAATAAACACTTAAAAAAAAAAAAAAGAAAGAAAGAAGGAAAGAAAAGTTTCATCACTGACCCATAGCCGGTCAGTGGCACAGCCAGCAGGTGGCGCACCCAACACCATTCCCCAAATGGTCAGGTCCCATCCCAGCCTGTATTCTGTGGGGGTTCAACATGGCACGTGCCCACGCTCACTTTCTCCCTCCTGTTTTCCCCAGGCGGACTCTGACTCCCATCTCAGACACGCTCCTGCTGGCAGGATCACTTGGGCAGTCAGGGAGGACGGTTTGGCTGTTGGTGGGAAGATGATCGCTGGTCGGTTCCAGTTTCTGACTCCTATCTCAAGATACCGTGTCTTCTAGTCCCGACCTCCTTCCTCTCCTGTCTCTTTAGGTGTCCCTAAGACAGTACCCAAAGCAAGCCTCGCCATTCATTCATTCATTTATTTACTGAACAGATACAAGCATTCCTCCTACATGCCGGTAACAGTACTAGGCCCTGGGGACACAGCGTTGCACAAGGCAGACAAGGTCCTTGTCCTCATGAGCTTCGATTCTGGTATAGGAGACACTATATATATATATATATATATATATATATATATATATATATATTTATGAGTGCTATGGGGGAAATGAAAAGGGTTGATATAATAGACATATAATAGACAGTGACTGTGGCAGGGCTTGAGGGTCACTGCAGATATGGTGGGTGGGGGGCCGTGTGTTCCTGGCAGGTAGAATGGCGTGCAAAGGCCCAAAGGCAGGAACCAGCAGATGTGAGGAAGGAGCACAAGCGAGGCCCATGTGGCTGGATAAGTGAAGAAGAGGGTCCGGTGCAAGGGTCCGGTGGTCGGGGCCCAGCCATGGAGGCCTGTGGGCCAGATGCAGGGTGGCAATCCATTTTACAAGTGCTGAAAAGCTGCTGGGGCTTTAAGCAGGGAGGGATGGGATTGGATTATGTTTGTAAAGGATCCTTCGGCCACCATGAAAAAAGTGGATTGCGGGGAGCAGGGGTGTGGGAAAGAGAGAGGAGGGTGGCTTGGATGGGGGTGGGGTAGATGGGATGGAGAGACAATGACAGATCCAGGATCTCGGTGGGCTGAGGTTACAGTTTCACTGCCACTGCTGAGAGAGAGCTGGCGTGTGGCAGGGAGGGGAGCTGCGCCATATCTGTAGGGATCTGGAACAGGAGATGCCCTGCTATGTCCTCCTCCTTCCCCTCCCTGGAGTAGGACTGTGAGCTTCTGATGGTCAGGCGTCACCCTGGGCAGCAAGAGGTCCACGTCTCCGGAGCGTCTCCTCCAGCCCTCCTTCCTGGGCTCGGAGTTGTTTAAAAAAAAAAAAAAAAAATTTTAACCGAGTCCATTTAAAAATCTAATTGGCTGTATTAAACAATTTATGAATCAGCATCCCATCTAGCAGGTAGAGGAGAACGCCAAGAAGCTGTGCAAAGTGGTTTTTAAAAGCAGGGAGGGGCAGGAAAAAAAGGAATTTACTAGCAAAGAATGTATTGTCTTAGGCAAGGTCACCCTCCTAAGGGGAATGGTAGGGAACACTAGGGGTTACCTCCTCCCTTTGACCAGGAAATTCCACTTGGGTTGGTTAAGGGTTACATTTCTGGGAGATTGAAGCCGTTGTTAGGTCAGGTTTAGTTAAGTCATGGTTTACTGACGTGGGGCCCTAACATAAGTGACACCATTCTGAGCCTTTTTTTTTTTTTTTTTAATAGTTCCTCCCTTTTGATCAGACTCTCAGCTTAACCGAAAGATGTGATCAAAATTTAAGACATTAGCACCATTCTCAGGAGTATTCTGTGGTTCTTGAATCTTTCATTTCTCTTTTGGTGCAATAATCCCAGATGGTGACTTTTTTTTCCAGATTATAATCTGTGATATGGTTATGACTTTGAGTTCACAAAGGAATGTTTGATGACAAGTCCACAATCTGAAGGGCAAAGTTTACCCCCTTTGTCACATCCTTCCAGGCCAGGGTCAGAATAAAGGAAAGAAAGGAATGGAGAAAAGGTTGCGTGTTTAGTGTATGAGGTCTCGTGGGGTCGAACCCACAAGCTGTGAGATCATGACCTAAGCCGAAGTCAGACGCTCAACTGACTGAGCCACCCAGGCGCCCCTATATTATTTTATTTTATTTTATTTTATTTTATTTTATTTTATTTTATTTTATTTTATTTTATTTTAAAATATGTATTTATTTTTGGGAGAGCACAAGTGAGGGAGGGCAGAGAGAGGGGGACAGAGGACCCAAAGTGGGTTCTGTGCTGACAGGCTGACAGCAGCAGGTCCAATGTGGGGCTCTAACTCACGAACCACAAGATCATAGCTTGAGCCAAAGTCGGACGCTCAACCAACTTAGCCAGGTGCCCCTACAATTACCCTATATGTTTAATAGTAAAACTAACTTGCATTAAACATCGCCTGGTTATTTATATGTCTGTTGCAGGAATAATGCTTGGCCATATAAGGTCTCTCTTCTTTTTAAAAAGTAATCTCTACATCCAACATGGGGCTCAAATTCATGACCCAGGGATCAAGAATCATATGCTCCGTGGACTGAGCCAGGAGGCGTCTTGTATGTAAGATCCTTTTAAAACTTTTTTTCTTTTTAAATGTTTATTTATTTTCGAGAGAGAGAGCATGAGCAGGGGAGGGGCAGAGAGAGAGGGGGACAGAGGATCTGAAGCAGGCTCTGTGCTGACTGGGAGCCTGATGTGGGGCTCGAATTCACAAAATGTGAGTTCATGGCCTGAGCCAAAGTAGGACGCTTGACCGACTGAGCCACCCCGGTGCCTCTTCTTAAAACTGCTTTGCTGGAAAATTTTAAGCAAGTTACCAGGTTAATTTTTTTCTTAGGCGGTTTTCTTGGCCTTGTAAAATCAGCCTCAGTTCCTTAAAACTGGTCATACCTGAATCTAGGCACATCTCTTCCAAATGTAATATTCCGGTCAAAGCTTTGGTAACATAATCCATGTTTCTAATTGTCTCCTGTTACAAGGAGAATAGACTCTCATTGAACTTATGTAAATAACTAGTTATTTTGCCATCAGAAGAATACTCAAGAGTTTTTGAATTCTGGAAGGATCAGGTAGGGAAGAAAAGTGAACGTCTCTTTGTTCACAAAGGTATACCTTATCAAACTATTGATAGCGTAAAAGAGACAAAGATTTCCCCAAATTTGGAAAAGTAAAACATTAGAAAACCAGTGACATATTTTATTTATTATTAAATAATGTTCTATTTATTTCTGAGAGAGCGCAAGCGGGGAGGGACACGGAGAGGATCTGAAGCAGGCTGTGTGCTTGACAGTGTCTATGAGCCTGATGTGGGGCTTCAACTCACAAACCACGAGATCATGACCTGAGCTGAAGTTGGTTGCTCAACTGACTGAGCCACCCAGGTGCCCCAGAAAACCAGTGATATTTTTAAAAATGTCTTTTAAGTTTCTTTAGTTTGAGAGAGAGAGAGAGAGAGAGAGAGAGAAAGACAGAGAGAAAGAGAGAGGTGGGGAAAGGCAGAGAGAGAGAGAGAGAGAGAGAATCCCAAGCAGGCTCTGCTCAAACTCACAAACTGTGAGATCATGACCTGAACTGATGTCGGATGCTCAATCGACTGAGCCACCCAGGTGCCCCAAAACCAGTGATATTTTAAACAAAAGTCATAAAAATGATCATCTTCCTCAGTTCCTTTGGTTCCATGTTATTAATTCTCACTCTGTTTGACTCCATTTTTCCACTGGCTTTGGAAATTCTTATTTAGGTTAGTTTTATGATCTGAAAGTTCTCAGAAATCTGTATTCCAGGGTATTTGTCCGATTCCTTTCCATGAATTTCTCTGAGGATGAAACACATTTGCAGGAAGCTTTTGCAAAAACATCCGAGTGAAACAATAACTGTCTGTAAATGTCAAAAGACTTAAAAATGGCATTGTTAAAAGTCTAATTAGAGTTTGTTACAATCTAATTGATAATGAAATTTGGTTATTTCTGTGACACATATTTTAAGATAATAGCTAGAATTATGACTGATAGCATTATACCAGGGCATATGGAACTTGAGGAATTGTATGCAATTTCTAAAACACTTATATGAATAACATTGACCCACGCAGTACAACCAAAAAAGGGTTATCCTCATTTACTGGACAGTGCTTCCTGTTAATTCAACGTGCCAGATAAATCTGACTAGTTTAAACTCTCTCTTTGTTTGAGATGTTTTAGGGGTTCCCTGAAAAATCCCCCAAGTTAGCTAGAGGTAAAAGTGACTTCATTTAGAATTTGACTTCTGGGACATTTGTCCAAAAAAAAAAAAAAAATGCCTTTGAGACAGCTTTTTAATTGTTGTTTCTTTTTAGTGGTCTTTGTAAGAGTGTGGAAGGATTCTTTTTTTTTGATGACGTTGAATCTGTAAGTTTCAGGTGACATGTGAAACCTTTTTAAAGATTTTTCTCACAGTTTGAAAAACTATTACCCAGGATCATGGTGTAATAAGACATATTGTTTTTCCTTAAAAAAAAAAAAAAAAAAATGAAGTGCTGAGACGCCTGGCTGGCTCAGTCCGTAGAGCTTGCCCATCTTGATCTTGGGGTTGTGGGTTCTAGCCCCACGTTAGGGGTAGACATGACTTAAAAATAAAATGTAGGGGCGCCTGGGTGGCGCAGTCGGTGAAGCGTCCGACTTCAGCCAGGTCACGATCTCGCGGTCCGTGAGTTCGAGCCCCGCGTCAGGCTCTGGGCCGATGGCTCAGAGCCTGGAGCCTGTTTCCGATTCTGTGTCTCCCTCTCTCTCTGCCCCTCCCCCGTTCATGCTCTGTCTCTCTCTGTCCCAAAAATAAATAAAAAACGTTGAAAAAAAATTTTTTTAAATAAAATGTAAAAAGATTAAAAAATAAAAAAAATGTAAGTGCATGTGTAGAGCTAAGGAGCTGTTGTACGTTTATGATTTAACAAAATAATTCTAAAGGAACAAAATGAAAAATATAGGAAAGGTTTTAAAACATGTGTGTCAACTATACTCATTTAAAAAGTTAAAAAAAAATGTTTAAAACACTTGGGCAAACAAGATCATAGGTCACTGTGAAATAATACTTAGTTATCCATTTAACCAAAATGACAACTTGTAGACAGTAAGAAAGTTAAATATTTGTAAAAAGCCTTATCTCTTTTAGTATCGAAAGGACTCAGGGACACCTACTTGGCTCAGTTGGAAGAGCATGGGATACTTCATCTCAGCATCCTGAGTTTGAGCCCCACATTGGGTATAGAGAGTACCAAAAATAAATGGCTTAAAAAATATGTATATAAAGGGGCGCCTGGGTGGCTCAGTCGGTTGAGCGTCCGGCTTTGGCTCCCGTCATGATCTCGCGGTTCGTGAATTCGAGCCCCGCGTCGGGCTCTGTGCTGACAGCTCAGGGCCTGGAGCCTGCTTTGGATTCTGTGACTCCCTCTCTCTCTGCCCCTCCCTCGCTTGTGCTCTGTGTCTCTCTCTCTCTCATTCTCTCAAAAATAAATAAACATTAAAAAATTTAAAGAAAGAAAGAAAGAAAGAAAGAAAGAAAGAAAGAAAGAAGAAAGAAAGAAAATAACAAGGGCACCTGTGTGGCTCAGTCTGTTGAATGTCTGACTTTGGCCCAGGCCATGATCTCATGGTTCATGGGTTTGAATCCGTCACAGGGCTTTGTGCTGACGATGTGGAACCTGCTTTGGATTCTCTTGCCTGCCTCTCTCTCTGCCCCTCCCTGACTCATGCTCCCTCTCTCCCTCTGTCTCTCTCAAAAATAAACATTAAAAAAAATTAAGAAATAAAATAATAAAGGGGAGCTATAGCACCAATGTAAGATTTACAGTTAATTGTAGATTCTACCATTCATAACAATTTTTGAGATGCTAAGTGTGTTTCAACTCATGTTTAATGATACTTAAATTGTGGGAATTTTAACATTTGTTCCAAAATAGCAGAAATTGTAAAAATTGTGATTTATTGGAGAAAATAGCATTATTTGTATATCTGACATTTAACCTTTTAAATTAGGGAGTCTAGATGCTTTTGTCGTATAATATTAATACAGTGGGGCGCCTGGCTGGCTCAGTCGGTAGAACATGTGACTCTGGATCTCAGGGTTGTGAGTTTGAGCCCCACGTTGGGGTAGAGATTTCTTAAAAATAATAAAATCTTTGGGGCGCCTGGGTGGCTCAGTCAGCTCAGGTCACGATCTCGCGGTCCGTGAGTTCAAGCCCCACGCCGGGCTCTGTGCTGACGGCTCAGAGCCTGGAGCCTGTTTCAGATTCTGTGTCTCCCTTTCTCTCTGCCCCTCCCCCGTTCATGCTCTGTCTCTCTCTGTCTCAAAAATAAATAAACGTTAAAAAAAATTTTTTTTAATAATAAAATCTTTCATATTAATACAATGATTAGTCTCTTGTAAAAGAAAAGGAAAACTGGCAACAAAAAAGTTTTAGTTGGTGTTATCTGCTTGTGAGGATCAATTACTTAGTATTTAAAACCGTAAGGCATTGCGTACTTTTCTTTCAGAACACGCAAGTCCTTTCCTGCGCCTTTATGCCTGTGGTAGAACAGTGAAAGAATGAAGAGTTTATTGATATGTTCAGAGTTATTGACGTTAAGTATCAGTGCCAAGAGCTGGAGAATCTACCTGTTGGAGGGAAATGCTCTTTAGCATATGTAAAAATAAGTGGTAACAGTTAATTTTTGAAAAATTAGGTAACAGATGCTTTTACTGCTCAATTGAATAGTCAAGATGTTTCTATCATCCCTAAGGCACTGGCTGGCACCCATTACTTTCTGATTTGAGTGATAAATAATTGGTAATAGTGTCATAACTATATGGCATTCTACAGCACACCTCGCTGTACAATATTTGAAGTTTTCTTCATATTGATAAAACTATAGGTTAATACATACTGATTTTCCCCTTAACTTCTCCACATTAGCTTTTTTTTTTTTTTTTTCTTTTTTAAGAAGGCTTCACACACAGTGCAGGGCCCTACTCGGGGCTTGAACTCACAACCCCAAGACCAAGCCCAGAGATGAGTTCAAGAGTTGGACGTTTACCCGACTGAGCCACTCATGCGCCCCCTCCACATTAGCTTTTTAAAATAATTTTTTATCCTTTAGTTTCCTGGATTTATACCTTAATGTTATAATGAGTGAAAATATAGTTCAGTTTGATAATGAATTCTTAGTGTAACTTTGTTTTTTGTTTTTTTGTTTTTTTAAATTTTTTTTTCAACATTTTTTTTGGGGACAGAGAGAGACAGAGCATGAACGGGGGAGGGGCAGAGAGAGAGGGAGACACAGAATCGGAAACAGGCTCCAGGCTCTGAGCCATCAGCCCAGAGCCTGACGCGGGGCTCGAACTCACGGACCGCGAGATCGTGACCCGGCTGAAGTCGGACGCTTCACCGACTGCGCCACCCAGGCGCCCCTGTTTTTTGTTTTTTAATTTTAAGCAGGTTCCATGCCCAGCATGGGTCTGGAATTCACAACATTGAGATTCAGAGTCAGCTTGACCGGCTGAGCCAGCCAGGTGCCCCCTTAGTGTAATAAACTGTTTTTAAAAACTTCCTCGGGGCGCCTGGGTGGCGCAGTCGGTGAAGCGTCCGACTTCAGCCAGGTCACGATCTCGCGGTCCGTGAGTTCGAGCCCCGCGTCGGGCTCTGGGCTGATGGCTCGGAGCCTGGAGCCTGTTTCCGATTCTGTGTCTCCCTCCCTCTCTGCCCCTCCCCCGTTCATGCTGTGTCTCTCTCTGTCCCCAAAATAAATAAACGTTGAAAAAAAAATTAAAAAAAAAATACTGGTTAAAGATCATAAGGAAGTGAAGGGGAATATAGAAAAACAGCAGGAAATTATGGCTGTATGGCTTAGCAATCAACACAATGTGTTTTTTTATTGTTGTTTTTAATGTTTTATTTTGATTATTAGAGAGAGAGAAGAGAGAGAGTGCACAGCAGGGAGGGCCAGAGAGGGAGAGTGCTGAGAGAGAAAGAATCCCAAGCAGGCTCTGCGCTGACCTCACAGAGCCTGACGTGGGGCTCGATCTCCCGAACTGTGAGATCATGACCTGAACAGAAATCAAGAGTCAGTCGCTTAACCGACCGAGCCACCCAGGCGCCCCCACTTTTAAGTTCTGATATATATGCTTAATATCCATTTTGTTAAAGTGGATTTGTTTAAGCCAGTAGTTAGGGCACAACCTCAGACACCAGACATGTAGATCTGAGTCCCGGCACACTGCTTCCCGTCCTTGGGTTTCCTCCCTGGGAGGGTGATCATGACAGCTATTCCTGGGGTTGTTGTGGGGATTAAATGAGTTAATACATGTCACACGACTTAAAAAAAAGTTTTTTTTAATTTTATTTTTTATTTTTTAAAATTTACATCCAAGTTAGTTCGCCTGTAGTGCAACAATGATTTCAGGAGTAGATTCCTTTAGTGTCCCTTCCCCGTTGAGCCCATCCCCCCTCCCACCACCCCTCCAGTAACCCTCAGTTTGTTCTCCATATCTAAGAGTCTCTTATGGTTTGCCCCCCTCCCTGTTTTTATATTATTTTTGTTTCCCTTCCCTTGCGTTTATCTGTTTTGTCTCTTAAAGTCCTCCTATGAGTGAAGTCATATGATTTTTGTCTTTCTCTGAATAATTTCACTTAGCATAAATACCCTCCAGTTCCATCCACGTAGTTGCAAATGGCAACTTTTTGATTGCCGAGTAATACTCCATTGTATATACATACCACATCTTCTTTATCTGTTCATCCGTTGATGGACATTCGGGCTCTTTCCATACTTTGGCTATTGTTGATAGTGCTGCCATAAACATGGGGGTGCATGTGTCCCTTCGAAGCAGCACACCCGTATCCCGTGGATAAATGCCTCGTGGTGCAATTGCTGGGTCGTAGGGTAGTTCTCTTTTCAGTTTTTTGAGGAACCTCCATACTGTTTTCCAGAGTGGCTGCACCAGCTTGCATTCCCATTTTTTAAAAATTTTTTAATGTTTATTTATTTTTGAGAGAGACAGAGACAGAGACAGAGCACTAGCAGAGGAGGGGCACAGAAAGAGGGAGACACAGAATCTGAAGCAGTCTCCAGGCTCTGAGCTGTCAGCACAGAGTCTGACGTGGGGTTCAAACCCATGAACCGCGAGATCATGACCTGAGCTGAAGTCAGATGCTTAACTGACGAAGCCACCCAGGCACCCCATATGTCACATGCAATGCCTGCCATATAGGAAATGCTCAAACGTTTGCTATTGTCACTTATACGTCAAAGCAATTTAGTAGAGTTCAGTTGCCATTTAGGTGGGATAAATCCTCATATTTAGGGCATCCATCATTTAAATGGTTTTAACACTTGCTTTTTTTGTGGTTTGTAATCAATAAACTAAAAACTGAATGGTTGTTCGTTCCAATATTTATGCAAGTGCTTCGTGACCATGAAATTCCGGACAGTCCGTGCTCTGTGACTAACATGTCTGTGACCTAAGGCAAATCATGGAGTCTTTTAATGGCTCCATTTCTGCTGTAACCTTGTGGTTCTACAGTTGTTACCCTCTCATTCTGCTGACGTCACCATGGTCTCACTTGCTGATGGCACAGTGCTCATGGGACAAGTGACATTGGGTGCGAGCCCCAAGTCTACTAAACATAATTAGCTTCGCTTTATGCTTTGGCTACACTTGTCCCACACTTGGACTTGAGGTCTTGTACACGTGTGCCACTGGCCACATACCCCATAGTTTGGAGCCCTCAAAAACTTTAGTGAATAAAATAAGATAGACATTCTACTTGGGACAGTTCAGTATAGAGTTTAAGTTTATTTTTATTGACTGGCTTTTTCAGACCCTAGTAATCACAGCTACGACTGCATAGTTGATTGGTTTTTGTTGTTGTTGTTGTTGTTGTTGTTGTTGTTGTTTTAGGTTTATTTATTTATTTTGAGAGAGAGTGTGAGCATGAGCAGGGAAGGGGCAGAGACAGAAGGAGAGAGAGAATCCCAAGCAGGCTGTCTCTGTGCTGTCACCATGGAGCCTGATGTGGGGCTTGATCCCACGAATCATGGGATCATGACCTGAACCAAAATCAAGAGTTGGACGCTTAGCCAACTGAGCCACCCACGCGCCCCTTTAGTTGATTTTTTTCTGATCATTAAAATGTATATAGAGTTCTTTTTAAATGCCACGCATCTCTAATAGGCACACATAAGCATATAAACAGAGCGCCTATAATTATTGTTTGAACATTTTTAGCCAGGCGATAAGTATAATACAAAACTCCCTAGTTGATAAAAGAACACTTGGATCCCAATCGATTTTCCATGAGATGGAATGAGTTAAAGTTACCTGCTCAGACGGCTAAAGTCTTTTCTACTAATATTTGTGGAGAAGACACATGATTTTTCGTTTGTCTAAATTGCAAATGACTTTTCCCCATTAAGTCTTCCTTCTGAGAAGAATTATATCCCTGAGGTTTATACTTTTAACATTTTCATTTTAAAGACAGAGGGAAAGAATGCAAGTTCCTCCAAAAAGGACTTTGGTTTCCTAAGGCTAATACTTTACAAGCCTTTTGAGACAAATAGAGGAGGTCTAGGGTTGCCTAAAGGACTAAGTGAGTTCTGAATTGCCTCTAGAGCTGTGTTTCTAGTTTTATAAAGATTTGTAAGATAAAGACAGTTGCTTTCGATCCCTCAAAGGATTGGATTGTAGCCTAGATGTTAAAGAACTGACGAATGTTGGAATTTTTTTTTTATGTTTATTTATTTATTTTCAGAGAGAGAGACAGAGACAGAGAGAATGCAAGCTGGAGAGGGGCAGAGAGAGAAGGAGAGAGAATCCCAAGCAGGCTCTGTGCTGTCAGTGCAGAGTCCAACGCAGGGCTTGAACTCATGAACTGTGAGATCAAGACCTGAGCTGAAATCAAGAGTCAGACACTTATCTGACTGAGCCACCCAGATGCCCCAGATTTTTTTTTTTTAATTGAAGCTTTCCCTTGGTTGCTTAAAGGAATAGCAGTTTACCAGAAAATCCCTTAGTCTCATCACCTCCAGGAGGGGCTCACCAAGGGCTCTTCTTTGAAGGGAGATACGGAGGTGTCTGTTAAGCCATTAACCTAGCAGACTTTTGTGTAAAGGCAGTTCAGACAAAGGATAACTAGAATGAATGTTCAAAGAAAGGAGTGTGGAGGTAAGCAGTAAGAATGCCTTCAGTCTTACATATTACGTTCCTCTTGTGTCTTTTGATTTTTTATCAGTTTTTTGCATAAACTTTCAATGGAGTTGAACTTTTTGCTATTCTTGGTCTTTGTTGTTGTCTTTTTTAAAATTTAAACTTATTTATTTTTTACTTTAAAGAGAGAGAGCATGTGAGCAGGAGAGAGGGGCAGAGGGAGAGAGAGAGAGAGAGAGAGAATCTTAAGCAGGTTCCAGAGCCTGACATGGGGCTCAATCCCACGACCCTGGGATCATGACTTGTGGTAAAATCAAGAGTCAGATGTTGAACCTACTGAGCCACCCAGGCTCCCCCAAACCTTGCTTTTAAGTGTACTTCTTAATGATCTTATTTACCTGGAACATTCCTCATAAAGGCCATTGTAATTCTAGGTTGTCATTCCCCTGAGGGCTGATAGCAGTTTGGTTGAACCTTAGCCAAAAATGGAGTTTAACCCATATCTCCATATCTCACTATATCTCGCCACCAAAGGGGGACAACTCACATATCTGTCTGGCCTTATTTTCGGGTCCCCAACCTGATGGTTACCAAGCCAAGTTCTTCAGGACACAAAACAAGCTTAGTAAGATTTTGCCTTTTTTTAAAATTTCAAGATATTTATAGCTTTTGGGACCATAGGTTTTATTTGTTTGTTTGTTTGTTTGTTTTTTAATGTTTGACTTATTTGTTTTGAGAGAAAGAGAAAGGCAGAGAGAGAGAGGGAGAGAGAGAATCCCAAACAGGCTCTGTGCTGCACAGAGCCTGACATAGGGTTCCATCTGACAAACCATGAGATCGTGAGCTGAGCCAAAATCAAGAGTCAGTCACTTAACTGAGTGAGCCACCCAGGAAACCCCATAGTTCTTAGATATAAAATAAACAGGTGTGCTGGAAGGTGCTATGTTTAACCCTTTGGATTTCAAAGATCCCATCTTATTTATTTATCTTTTTCTTTTAGCTAAGCCTTTACTTCATGTGCACACTGACAGAAACCAACAGTAGCCCAGGAAATGGAACTGTGGACACCACCAGTAGCCAAAGAACTGGGGATGGGAAAGGATTGAACCAGCAGACATCAGAGAATGGAGACTGTTGAGCTGATCCAAGTGAATGGAGGACTATAGCTGCTATCTGCAGCTCCCAGTGTGGAATCTGAGGACAGAGCCTCGGTCTGGGGTTTAGAAGTTCCTGCAGATTGGCCAATAGAAGGCCTGTGTATGCCACCAGCAATTTCCAGAATATACTAAGCCAGCAGACTCCAGTAAACAGGGACTGTGGACTGGAATGGGGGAAAGGGATTCCACACAAGTGCAGAACTACAGACTGAACCAAGGGCTAACGACTGGTGCTCTGTTAGATTCTCCTGTCAATCTAGACTGACCTGTTAACCCTGGCCTGGAAGGTCTGTTAGATTGGGAGCTCAACACAAAAAGAGTAGTGCTCAAACCAAGAGGAGCTTACCAAGGGCCCTAGGAAATGGTGAGAAACACAATGAACTCAAAAGGGTTCGCTTTGGATCCCACTCTTGCCACCAAATCTGTTAAAAAACAAAACTTAACCAAGTAAATTGGCATTATTAAATAATTCATTAATATGGCAACAACTCATCTAGCAGGTAGAGGGGAGCTCCCAGGAGCTGTGCAAAATGGAAGATTTTTTTTTTTAATTAAAAAAATTTTTGTTTATGTGAGAGGCCTGAGAAAATTAAAACTTAAAAGCTTAAGTTATGGGAAACTGAAACCTAACCAAGCTTAACCAGCTTGTTCCGCTTCTGTACAATTGCTTGGCGCGCCCATGTATTCCTGATCAATCATTATTGCCTGGCACATCCGTATATTCTTGATCAACCATTGTTACTTGGCACATCCGTGTACTACTGATCAATCATTGTTGCTTGGCACATCCGTGTATTCCTGATCAATCATTGTGATACCCGTACCCCCGGTTGTGGTCTGACCTAAAGGCAGGAACCAATCGGATACTGTTAAGTGTCCAACTTTAAACACCAACCAATCGCAGCTCTGTAACTGTGGAAAATTCCTGATTTCCCCATGACTTGTTTGTACCTGTCTGTAAAAGGGGTGTAAAAACCTCTCTCAGGGCCTCTTGGCGTCACCGGCAACGGGGGGCGCAGAGGTCCAGGTTCGAACCTGCAATAAATGACCCTTGCTGCTTAGCTTTGACTCTGGACTCTGGTGGTTCGTTTTTGGGGGTCTCTTAGACTCTGGGCGTTTCATATGTTTATTTATTTTTGAGTGAGAGAGAGACAGAGGATAAGTGGGGAAGGGGCAGACAGAGAGGGAGACACAGAATCCCAAGCAGCCTCCAGGCTCTGAGCTGTCAGCATAGAGCCTGACGCAGGGCTTAAACTCACAAACAGCGAGATCATGACCTGAGCCAAAGTCGGACGCTTAACCCACTGAGCCACCCAAGCGCCCCCCATTTTTTTTTAATTAAATTAAATTAAATTAATGTTTTTTTTGTTTTGTTTTCAAAATGAAAGGTTTTAAAGATTGGGGCGGGGAGAGGGGGAAACAGGAATTTGTTAGCAAAAAATGCATTGTTTTAGACAAGGTTGCCCTCCTAAAGGGGATGGTAGGGGTCTATTAAGGGATTACCTCCTAGTATTTATCAGGAAATTCCAGTTGGACTGGTTAAAGGGTATATTCCTGGGGCATTGAAACTGTTGTTGGGTTAGGTGTTAAGTCTTGGTTGACTGAAACAAGGCCTTAACATTAGTGACACCATTTGGGGCCTATGGTCTTCTTTAACAGAGTCCTGTGGCATTTCATGGAATCACTCTTCGTTCAGTCTTGAAGTGCGATGTTGAGGTCCCAAAAGACCTGTATGCCCATGAGGCATTGCCAGGGTACCAACAGAATGCAGGAAGAAACCGTAGCCATCAAAGAGGGCTATGCCTCTGGCCCTAAAATCTAAAATCCTCTGCAAGCCGGCTTCCTTGCAGTCTGCTCTTTCCACCTTCCGGCAGATTGTAGGCCAGCGAGAGCAGCAGGAGGGTGAATCAGACCCACCCATCATCCTCTGCAAATGCCTCTGAAGGATATAACTGCACAGTGTTTATTTTACGAGGTCGTTCCCAAGTGTAACTTTGTTCTGGCCAAAGGTGCGCATTTATGCCAGCCTGACCCTGATAGAGAAATATCAGCCCTGGATTGTAAAGTAAGTAAATAAAACAAACACAGAAACAAGCTCATAAAATGTAAGTCAGGTCTCGTCACCCTCCAGCTCAGAACCGCCCACCTCCGCCCTGTGGACTCCCCATAGCGCTAAGCATAAAACCCAAAGTCCTCGCCATGGGAAGGCCCCACAGGAAACTCTTGATCTCATGACTTCCACACACCCCCGCCCTCCCCGCCAGCCTCAACACGCCCACCCCTGGCTGAGGCCCTGCCTCAGGGTCATTGTGCTTGCTCTTCTCTGCAAAGATCACACAATGTCGCCTTACCCACTTCTCTGATCAGCTCGTCTAAACTAGCTGCCTCCCTGCCGCTAGCGTCACTCCGCGTTTCCTTACCCTGCTTCGTTTCATTCACAGTATTCATGTATATTCTCTTCTCCCCATTAGGAGACATGCTCCAGAAGGCCAGAGACTACCCTGTCCTGTGTCCCCGGCATCTGGAATAGGGGCCAGGGCACAGTAGGTGAGGTCTCTGCAAATGCTTGCTGAAGGAGGATGCCCAGCACCACCCCCCCCCCCCCATGAACCCTGTGTGGCCTGTAACTAGGAACCGCCCCCTTCCCATTGTCATGATCTCTGTCTCTCCCCAGCTCTGAGGCGCTGCGTCTCCCACCAGCTGTGCCCCACCCCCACCCCGTTGGAAATTTTTACCGGAAGCTGGAAGGACAGCCACGTTCCCCTGCTGCGCTAAGAGGGGCTGAGAGGAAATTTCCACAAACTGTGGCTGGCAGCGTGATGCAGCGGCCAGGGAGTCTGGGGAGGGCCCAGGGTTGCTTGTGAACGTCTGTGCCAGTCCCGTGCCCAGAGTGTGGTGTGCTGTGTGTTCACAGATCTGTTTCCAGATCTGTAGATCAGGAAGGCCATCCGTGCTTACTGCACAGCAGGAGCTCCAGCTTGCTGGGGCCTGGTCAGGTGCATCCCTGGAGCCAGAAGGATCTTCAGACGTCATGAAGTTCAATCCCTTCCTTTCCCAGATGGAGGAATTGAGGCCCAGAGAGGGGAAGCAATTTGTCCCCAGTCACAGGGAAAGTGACAGAGCGTGCACTTGAACTCACTGCATCTCCTGGGTTTTTGCTTCTCTTCTTCTCTTCCATTCTTTTTTTTTTTTTTATTTCTTTTTAATGTTTGTTCATTTTTGAGAGAAACAGAGCATGAGTGGGGGAAGGGCAGAGAGAGAGAGGGAGACACCATCTGAAGCAGGTTCCAGCACAGAGCCGGACGCGGGGCTTGAACTCACGACCTGCAAGATCATGACCTGAGCCAAAGCCAGATGCTTAATTGACTGAGCCACCTGGGTGCCCCTTCTCTTCCATTCTTGCCCTCCTGCCCTTCCCTCCCACCAGTCTCCAACTAATCTTTTCCCAAGTGCCACTTTGGGCCAGCCCGCTGGGAGCTCGGGCTCCCTGGGGCCATGTCACTGCCACTCCTATCAGACCTCCAGAGCTGCCTACCTCTCCTCCACGCACCCCATCCCTGCCAGGACCCCTGCTGCAATGCCCTTTGTGTCCCTCTGTGTCCCTGCTGTGTCCCTCCTGCTTCTGCCCTTTCTCCAAACTTGGGGCTCCCGTCTGCCTAGATTGCCTGGTCTGACCTGCTAGGCACCCACTAAGTACTCGCTGTTAATGATGGTAATGACCTCAGTCTGGCCAAGAGGATCCTTGATGTGAAAGAAGGAAAAGGGCTTTGGGGGTCGAGAAAACTTGGATTCTAACGCTAGCCAGCTCTGCTTGCTGCCTGGGCCTCAGTTTATTCATCTTGAAGGCGGATGGGGTGGGGGTAAAATGCCTGCCTGGTAGTCTGTTGTAAGGATCAAAGATCCAATGACTGTGAGGGCCCAGCAGCTCACCAACCAGCTGTTCTGGGAATAGGCTTCTCCTGCCTGCCGGTGGCAAACGATGACTGTTTCCATGGTGGAAAGGAAGGTGTGAGCCTCCCGAAAAGGATCTTACCCAAGGGGTTTCCTCCAAGACAGGACAACTACAGCAGAGCAGGGAATGGGGGGTACAGAAACCGAGGGGCGTGGTCAGGAGAGATCCACTAGGGAGTACCACCCTCTGCCTGGGAATGCTGGGGGAGGTCCCTGGGGGGGCGTTCCCTTGGGAGCCCGCAGAAGGGCCCCATGGGAACAGAATCTGCATTTGGGTACCTCCCATGCCCAGAGGCACCAATGCCTGATTACAACCACACCAGTGATGGCATTTTCAACCTCTGTCTCTTCCTCTGAGCTATCAGGGAGGAGAAGCTTGAGACTGAATAGAACAGAAAAACGATAGTAAGCAGGACCAGACTTTTTAATACTTGGAAAATGAGCTTGTGTCTGTACTATGTACCCCCAGGACAGAGAAGCCACAAGCCACAAGCAGGCACAGATGTCTAACGGGGCTAACAGAGCTAACGGGGCTCTGACAAGAAAGAATCGAGGGGCTGGGGCACCTGGGTGGTTCAGTTAGTTCAACATCCAACTCTTCACCTCAGGTTGTGATCTCACGGTTTGTGAGATCGAGCCCTGAGTAGGGTTCTGTACTGATAGCACGTAGCCTGCTTGGGATTCTCTCTCTCTCTTTCCCTCTCTCTTAAAATAGATAAACATTAAAAAAAAAAAAAAAAAGAATTGAGGGGTTGCCTGTGCCACACTAAGTCTAGCTCATTCAATGACTGCTTCCCCTGGGGTTTGTCTGGTGAACCCAGTCTGTGCCAGGCCCTGATGGGGCCTGTGCCAAATGCCCGTGTGGCCTTGACCCTTTCTTTCTCTGGGCCTCTATTTCTTCCAGCTGTGAAATGCCTCCCTTTTCCGAGGGCCCTACCAGACTTTGCCAGTCCGTGTGAAAAAGGATTTGAGGTCTCTCGTTCCAAGTGGGAAAATTAAATGTATCCCAAGCAATTAGCTCAGGTGGGCCATAGGGGGCCAGTCAGGCAATGGGTCTGAAATCAGGCAGCACGTCCGAAAAGTGATCTCCTCTGCACAATGAGAAAATATAAAAATTTAAATCTTTAAAGATGTTGATGGCAATGTCATTCTGAACAGCTTTTTTGAGACAGATTCTAACATACTATAAGCTTTACCTCTCGTATGTGTATAATTCCAGATTTTCGGGAAGTTTACAGAGTAATGTAACCATCACCACAGTCTAATTTGAGAACATTCCATCTGAAGGAGATCTCTCGTGTCTGTTCCCACCCCCACCCCTGGCAACTGCTAACCTACCTTCCGCCTCAGAGATTCCCCTCTTCTGGACATCTCGTGGAAATAGAATCACGCATTATGGTTTTTGCACCTGGCTGCTTTCACAGAGCGTAATGTTTGCGAGGTTCGTCCATTTTTAGCATGCATCTTACTTCATTCTTTTTTTTTTTTTTATGGCCAAAGAATATTCTATTGTACGGGCATGCCACATTGTATATTTGTCTGTTTATCATTGGTATATGTTAGGGTCGTTCCCGTTGTTGGGGGCTTATGATGAATAACACTTCTATGAACATTCGTGTAGAATTCTCTGTGTGGATGCATGTTTTCAGTTCTTGTGGGTAGCTTCCTAGGTGTGGTTTTGTTTCGCATTCCTACAATGACCAAGGATCCTGAGCACCTTGGCCTGTGCTTGATGGCCCTTGGGCATCCTCTTGGGTGAAATGTCAGTTCAGATCCTTTGCCCCATTTTTTAATTGAATTATTTATCTTTTTACTGAGTTTGAGTTCTGTATATATTCTAGTAGATATATCTAGTAGATACATGATGTTTGCAAATCTTTTCTCCCAGGCTGACTTATCTTTTTTTTAGTTAGCTTATCGTAAATGTAAGGGTTTATTTCTGGACTCTCGGTTCTGTTCCATTGATCTAGGTCTACTCATATGCCAGCAACATAGTGTTTTACTTGAGTAGCTTGATAGTCTATTTTGAAATCAGGAAGTCCTCTACTTTGTTCTCCTTTTTCAGAATTGTTTTGACTAATTTGGGTCCTTTGCATTGTCATATACATATTAGGATCAGCTTGTCGATTTCTACAAACCTGGTTTTCACAACCTGGTTTCCCCTTTTAGCCTCCTCTTCTATTTTTCCCAGCCCAATAAATGGACAGGGGAGGAGGAACTAAGGAGAAAAGGGTGCGTATCTCTCAAAGGGCCTAAACAAAAGGGAATAGGTTCAGAGGCAGGCACCTGCTGAGGTTTATTAGGGACCCTCTACTTGGGCTGTATTAGCACTCCAAGGCAGATGCCTTATAGCAGGGGGGTGAGCGCCGAGAGTGTAGGTCTGAGGACACAGAGAGATTCACTCCCAATCTGGAGAGTGGTTTCTCCGAGCTGATAAAGAGGAGGGACTGGGAAGAGCACCTACCAATTAGGACGACACAGGAAAGGCGGCGAGGGGGCTGAAGGAGCCTGGAGCGCTTGCGTTGTAAGAATCTTTTCTCCAGGGTCCTGATCCTTTGCAATAATAGCAGAAATGGTGGTGGTGGCGGGGGGGGGGGGGGGGGCCCGTTTGGTTTTGTTGGGGGGCCTTGATTTGCTGGAGTTGAAAATTAACAATTTTAGTGGTCTTGCTTTTAATGTTTATTTATTTTTGAGAGAAGGAGAGAGTGAGAGTGGGGGGGAGGGGCAGAGAGAGAGAGAGAGGGAGAGGGAGACGCAGAATCTGAAGCAGGCTCCAGGCTCTGAGCTGTCAGCACAGAGCCCAACATGGATGGGGCTTGAATTCACAGACCAGGAGATCACGACCTGAGCCGAAGTTGGGAGCTCAACTGACTGAGCCATCCAGGTGCCCCAAATTTTAGTGGTCTTTCTTTTAGGTGACTCATCTAGGGTATAAGTGAGCTGGTTTGCCAGCTTAGATCTGGAGTGGACATAGTTTCCTGTTCCATCCTGGTCCTTTTAACTAAAAGAGAAAGGTCCTGGTTTAACCCACTAATAAACACGGAGTGAAATGCTCCTCAGGCAGATCCAACATCTAAAGGAAGATCAGGATTTTCTTTAAAGACAATTTGGAGTCAGCGGTAGTAGTTGCAAACAGGTTCATAAGGTTTTTGTGTGCAAGCCCGAATTTTGTGAACTTTGTTCCGATCAGTGGGCTGAGAAAAAGCCACTGTAAATATTTCACGGACATTTCCGGGGAGTTTTCTGGCATCAGGCTCATTTTATCCAATGTTTGGCCTGGTCCTCACTGAAAAGCATATGGATATAAATCTGATTAGAAACCAGGCCGGTGAGCGCCTGGCTGGCTCAGTCAGTAGAGCATGCGACTCATGATCTCCAGGTTGTGAGTTCGAGCCCCATGTTGGATGTAGAGATTACTTAAAAAATAAAATCTTTTTTTAAATAGGCATCCCATGCTGTTTTGACAATTTTAATTT